TTTCCCTTTAAGAACTGTTCCTTTAGCTTGACTGGTGGCCTCCTGTGATAATTAGTATGTCTGCGCTTCATTAATTAGATCTGAATAGCACAAGTCTGTTTGCTAGGTTATTATCATTAAGGGAAGATTAGGGCTTCTACAGATCTGATAAGCAAATCTGCTGAAGAAAATGGATGGAAAGAGTCAGATACAAAGAAACATCAATGAAGGATAAGTCCTGCTAACAGGTAGTCCCCCCCCACCATCTGGAGGACCACTCCAACATCCTCAAGGTTCCCAATAACATTTTTTCTGACCTTTAGATAAGGGCCTCTCTCTGCTTGGCAACTTATTTCTGATGGTCCCTTGGATGTTACTCAAGGCAAAAATCACTGCACTGTACTTATGTTTGATTTACTGTATGTGTGGGGGAGGGGAAGGGAGGGAGGAGAGGAAATAAAACCTCCAACCAGATTTTTCCTTCCCAGAGGAAAGCCATTTCTGTCCCTCCTGCAAGTTTATACTCATGCTGGCTGGATCGTTCATTCATTTGGGGTTAAAGAAAGAGTGAGGGCAGAGAAAGCATTCAGAACAGAACTATCTTTTCTTCTGCTTCAATCCACTCCACTGGCTAGCATGGCCAGCAGTTAAGTTTTGCTTCATTTTCTAAAAATATATATATACTGTTGATTTTCAATCAGTCTCCCCCAAACCTAACCATTCTACAGCCCTGTGATATCACCACTTATTTAGATTCATCCAGCCCCTTTGCTTTGCTATTACCGTATTTTCTCACATATAGACATACACTCAAATAAAAAACGCACCCTATTTTTGGAAGGCACCAAGGTAAATCTTACCAAGGAGTACAGGTAAGTACCAGAGACCTGGGATCTCTGGGGCTGGGGGATGCATGCCAGAGCCCAGTCTGGCATGGTGACACTGGGGTTACATAGTGTAGTGGGGCCTGACTCAGCATAATGTGTTGGGGCTGCGCGCTGGCTCCAACCCTGCACACTGGCTCCAGGGCCATGCCCTGAGTTCGGAACAGTGCATTGGTTCTGGAACCATGTGCTAGGTCTGGGACCTGGGGTGCTGTGTTCAGCTGCAATCCCAATCTGGCATACAGTTGGGAAGGGGCTCCCCAAGAATCTGGAAATTTGGTAGCAGGGGTGAGGTCGGGAGGGAGGAAGCAGTAGCAACATTAAATTCCAGTGGCTCCCAGAGCCACAGCAAGTAATGCTGCTACCACTCCAAATTTCCAGACCTATGGGGAGCCCTTTTCCTCACATATAATGCTTATCCCAAATTTCCCCAAGTAGTTTTGGAGAAACTGTGTGGGTTATGTGTGAAAAAAATCATGTTTTTTTCCATTCTACATTCAGGCCCAGCAAGAAGGCAAATCCAATTTACATCCTAGAGAGTGTCCAGATGAGTGGGAGCATGTGTTTCCCCGGGCACAAGTAGCAGCGGCACACCTTGTGCCACTGCTACTTGTCTCTGGGGAATGCTGGTGCCACACACACTCTGGTATGCAGGTTACACCAGATGGGGTAGGGGAGGCTGGGACCAACAACTGTGCTGGCTCCAGCAGTCTTACCTGGAGTCCTGGGGGCCTTCACGAGCTCCAACTGCTGCAATCCTGCAGCAGAGAACCTGGCCGGCAGCAAAAGCATGGCTTCAGCCAGCCAGGCTCTGGTTTTGGGTGGCATGTGCTGGCACCACGTGAGCCATCCCGCTTTTTTTCCACCATGGGTTTTTATGACCCTGGGTCAACCCCCACCACCAATGCTGCAAAGTAGCAGTGCGGGGAATGCCTGCTTGCGCAGTGTGTGGTGCCGCAGATGGGTCTATGGGGCAACATACCACATGTCTGTGCTCAACTGGATGCGCCCCTGGAGTCTGTCACAATCAAAACGACAATGAACAACATTGCATGCTTTAATGCAGGGGTGGGCAATTATTTTGGGAGGAGGACCGCTTACTGAGTTTTGACAAGCCATTGAGGGCCACATGACAGGCAGTCGGGGCAGATAAATATTAATTTTCTAATTTTTTTTTAGGGGCTCCACAGGATGGATAGAATGGCCTCGCAGGCCACAACCGGCCCGCATTTTGCCCACCCCTGCCTTAATGTTACATTTGGTATGCATAGGGTCTGCTGACTGCCTCAAGTTAGAACGCATCTAAGAACTGATGGAGCTGTTGAGGTAGCGTAGTTAAAACATGGGGTACAATTGTAGGGTTTCTGATAAGCTAAAAGCAAATGTTTGTGGTAGAAATAACTTGTTCATTATTTGTCCAATTGAATGAACCAGATCATTTTACATTGGGCCCAATGTTTATGTTTTATAAAACCTCTGATCAAGAAAAGTGTTTCTGCTCTCATAAAAGTTCTTCTTCTATGCCTGAAACCCAAACATTACAACAATAAAAATCCAGACCCAAAATTGACTACAAACAGAAGTGGAAGTTGTGATTTCATTGATTTTCATTCTCTAAAGGAACAGAAATGCATAAACAAACAGGTTAGCTAGTGGCTAGAAAATGAGATTTTTAAATTGATATTTACAGCAATAAGCTAAGGTGTTCCTAGATAAAATAGCTAAACGTGTTTACCTGGTTATTATCCAAGATATACCAATAGACAGTGACCTTTAAAACTTGAAGATTTACAAAAATCTGTAAGTACTCTGTTAATGCCTTGCATTTAATTTAGTTTAGACCAGTGATTCTTAACCAGGGTGACACCCGGAGATCCTTTCAAACATGCCTCAGGTTGCCATGCAATGTCAGTAGTGTTAGGCATGCAGACTTGATTCACAAGATAAAACCACACGGTGCCTGTAGACGTGCTGGGAGGCTGCTCCAACGTGCTATAATTACAATTACAGTGCATTGGCGGAGTGTGGTAATTACGGTGCTACAGCAGCCTCCAGTGTCTTGTGTATCAGTGTCCCCATGCTTCAAAATGGCAGCAGGGGTGCTTGAACTAAACCTTCTTGAACAAGTTAGTTCAAGCGCCCCCACGACCATTTTGAAGTGTAGGGATGCTGATACATGAGACGCTGTGGCGCTTTAATTAGTGGCTCTTGGAGCTGCTTTAATTAGAGCACCCTTCCCCCCACCCACCCTTGGAGCATGTGTAAAAGTGCTCATAGATTTCAAATAGGAACCCAGTGTTAAAAACATTCTCCCCTGTTGTGATCCTTCTGAGTTGTTTGTAACAAAAACTGCGCTGTTATTTTTCTGTAGTCAAAAACCTAGTGAAAACAAAGCTGGAATTTTCTGAGGGGGACTTTGAGTTTATCAAGGGGTGCCTTGCGTATAGAAAAGTTAAGAATTGCTGGTTGAAATGATCAAATCAGACTGATCAGTTTCACTTCCCTGATTGTCACTTGGCTTCTAACACACTGCTGGGTAAGAACTACAACAAGACGTTATTGGGAAAAAGTACGTTTAAAAGAATTCTAGAGCAGTTCCACAATGTCCTCAGAAGTCAGGTGCCACACACGCAGCCTGTGCCATACAGCCCATATGGGGAATACCGAACACAGTTCCACAGGGGCTTCCCCAGACTCCTGGAGGAGTGTGAGGGCAGAGCAGGCCACTAAATCTGCTGCCATGCTACCAGCTACTCCCACCCAACTCTTGTGGAAGGACAGCATTGCCTGCACCATGCCCAGCTGCCCAGGCCTTGGTGAAGGGAACAAGACAGCCCTGTTGTGAAAATCTTAAGGACCTTCAGAGACTCCAGAAAGTACGTGAATCCAGATTACATTTCATCATTCCCATGTGTAGAGCTTACTCTTCACCTACTCCTACTGATATCCAGGGAATACTCTCCAGCCGTCTCTTACCTTTTCCATAATCAGATCATAGAGCAGTGTCACAACTCGCACATAGAGCGCCTCCATGCCTTTTTCTTTGAAGAGATTTCTAAGTACTTGAAGGCCACCAAGCTTGAGGAACTGCTGCTGGGCATAGGGGAAGTGTCGCAGCATCGAAGACAAAGCAAATAGAGCCTGACAAACACAAGAGTGAATCAGTCCCTGAGTCCAGTCACAGCTGCCATTTTCTTGCTCAGTAATCTGCATGCTGAAGAGCCCTAATGTTCTGGCTTCATTTTCTTTTGCGAACTATCACAAAAGGCGGCTGATTGAGGTTACATAATATGGGTGTGATTTAAATGCCCGTCAACAATCTCAATGACTTCTAATCAGGAGAGAAAAACATGACCATCTATGTTCATGCCTTGCTGCTCGGCAAACACTGGCCCACGTTAATTTCAGCCTCTCCAAGGGACTGAGGTTTACATTTGCTCCCCAACTCCCTGAAACTCTTGCTATAAAACATTTGTTTTCAAGGAGTTCAAAGGCTTAGTGCTTGAACCTGCAAGATGCTGATCCCCTGACATTTCCCCTGAATACAGTGGTCATGCCAGGTGCTCAGCCATCCTCACCATCACAACTATGAAGCCCTCAAAGCAACAAAGGCCACTCCAATGACATTCTCTCCAATGCCAAGGAAGTACAGGATATCACTGAGGCCTACACTATACTGTACATGGGAATCTGACCTAGCGTGCAGGGTGTGGTGTTGTTTGGAATCTGCACAAATGCCTTTGTAAGGACCAGAATTTCTTAACTGGGATGCACAGTTGTTGTGTGATTAAACAGGCCAGGGGAATCAGAACTTTACCACTAGCTTGTATATAGTCCATGACACACCACTGTGCATCACACATCTCAGCTTGCTGGGATCCTATGACCCCAGCTGACTTCCTGCCCTGCGGGCGGGGGGCTGGACTCGATGATCTTTCCAAGGTCCCTTCCAGCCCTAATGTCTATGAAATCTACGAAATCAGGTTCCTGATCTGTGACACAAGGGGCGTGTGTAGATGAAATGGGGGGGCCTAAATTGAAGTGGTGGGTTTTACAAAACACTGCTACAATTTAGGGCTGATTAAACCCCTGTGTCGTGCACACACCCTGCTTACCTACCTGCTTTTCCAGCGGGGAGGGGAGGGGAGAGGAGGGGAGGGCGAGTTGCCGGTGGGTGGAGTGGTCTGTGGGTTGGGGGCGGGGGGAAGCTGGTGCTTCTCTCCACAGCAGCTGCAGCCCCCCCACCCCCCAGGCAGCACCCACCCACAGGTACCCAGCTCAGGCAGTCCCAGGGGGCACTGCAGCTATGGAGGTAAGCACTGGGCCCCCACACAGCTCAGGTAGGCAGGCAGGATCCAGGCGGGGTGGGGAAAAAAAAGATCAGGCTTGCCGCTTTTCTTGAGTGGAGCTGCTTTTCTGGGCTGCTGTCAGGTTGCCTGCAGGGCTTCCTGCAGATCTGCACAGAGCCCAGTGCTTTGCTCCGTGGCTGTAGGGGCAGCAAACTAAAACTCCTCAAAGCAGTTTTAGTTTGCTGCACTCCAAGTCATTTAAGGCGCATTATGCCACTGAATTTCCTACAGCAGCTGGAATTAATATGCAATACGCTGCTAAGGTGTTCAAACATCGACACCATTAAAGCAGTGCAAAAGCATTTAGCCCACTTTAAAGTGTTGTGTACACATGCCTCTCGTTTCATCTACACACGCCCAAGGACAACAACACCAGCCTTTCCACAGGGTACTTGTGAGGCTGAATCCGTCTTTAAAAACTCCAAGGCCCCTGGGTGAGAAGAGGAATGGAAATGCTGAGGATTCACATCCTTTACATCACACATTGAGCAGAGCAGCCTCAGAGTGTTTGGTGCAGATACAGACAGATGTTGCCTCCCTTTCCTCAGCGGCAGTTTCAATCAACTATCCTGGGAGATAAACAAATGTGGCCCTCAATACGACAGTGCACCACACAGGCATTTGGCGAACACAAGAGCTCTTGTGTACTACATCTGGGAGTCCTCCTGCTGTGCCATGGATGGGCCCAAATAAGTAGGCAGGCATCCTCTGGGCCTGGAACACATGCCCAGTACTAATTTGGGTGGAAGCAGATGCCAATGAAAGCACTTTGAATCCTTCTTTGGGACTGATCTGCAGCCCAGCAAAATTTTACTTGGATTTGATTTAGTTCCTGCTCATACTAAACCTATCTGTGATATTTATATAGCAACAAAACTGCTGCGGTACTGAAGTGCTTGAACGCAACAACACAAGAGGGGCAGGGTTTCAATGCAAGGCAGGCTCTGCTCTCACTGAGTTTGTATTTGGGGATTTTCTGTCTGGAATGTCTTTAGAGACAGGCAGTTTGTAATTTGTTAACATAACTCAAATAAAATCAGTGGGTTATTTATTAAATGAACATAAGAGGACACTTATTCATCACATAAACCAAACCCAAAGCCAAGATAGTTTCCTCACACTTGTCCCCTTTGAAGGATCTGCACTCTGGATTTTGAGCGCAGATGCCCAGAAAAAGCCTTTCCTAAGAAGTCTAACCCAGCTGTAACAAAGATGACTGAGAATCGCATGGGATTGTCAGTGCTGTTTGGCACCAGAACTGTGTCCCTCTTTGGACAGCTGAGCTCTGAACTGAGCATTTCCCCAGCCCTCCAGGACCTTTTGTGAGGTGTCAAATCAAACTCACTCACCTCTCACTTGTTACACTCCTGTAAATATTGTGGGCAGGGATGGATTGAACACAGTGCCCAGAACAGAGCTCCTAACCTACCTGGGATCTTTGGCCAGTGCCTTAACACACCTAGACAACTGCAACAACATATGGCTCTGGCCTGAATGTCAGTGCCTTCATGCACACAAATGGCAAAGCTGAGTACAGAGGCAGGCAGTGCCACATTATTGATTTCTACACTCTCCTTCTATTTCCAAGCCTGGTTCCTAGAGGAGCTAAGAAAGATGCTCAGACTGCAGTGATGCCCCTCAGGCCAGACTGCTGCTGCTGAAAAGAGAACTATTACTGAGATTACTCATCTCAGAGCCTGCCAGCAATCTGAACTACCTCCTTGGCAAGCACAGGTGGGACATACTTGTGCTCTCCATGGGCAGATCTGAATAGGGAGTGAGATTTTTCCAAACCAGTTTGTTCTTATTTTACCTTCTCTTGTTGCCTCCAGGAATCTAGTGAATACTCCTGTCTGTTCTCTGTTACAGGCCAAGGGAAGGTGCGTGGAATGCCTCCCCCTGTCCCCAGTGTGGCTGGAGGGGAAATAAGACTCTACTACCTGCGCCACATTTTAATTCTGATGGGAGGAAAAGCCTCCCTGTCACACATTAGTGGGAATGCATTAGAGCTCAGGATGAATCTCCACACCAGTCTAGAGTCCCATTGCCACCCAAGACCTCTCACTTCTTCAGAGAAGGACCTCAAGGATGGCCATCTAGCACAGTGCATTTTACATTTTTAAAGAGTTTACCATGGATGCTTATTTAGCCTGGAAGGTGGAGTTGTGGGGAAGGGAGAGAGGGGGATTAAAGGAGAGGCACTCATGATGAGTCTGGGGACAGAGGAAATCTTATTCTGTCTGGATACAAGAGATCACCTAATACTGTGCCAGGCTGGAAAGTCTCTCTGGAGCCCTGTCCATGGCATGCTAGTAAGTTTAGAAGAGCAGCAGCCTTCTGTTTGTTCCTGGTGGGGCTGCAACGCTGCCAGAAATGACTCATCTCAGAGTCTTTAAAAAATGCTTTTGAATTGGGACACGCTGCTCTGACAAGCACAGATTTTCAAGTACTCCCTTAGTTACCCCAGGTACCCCACCAAGGCTTTTATCTTCAGCCCCATAGCACAAACTGACACAGACTGAGCCAACCACATGCATGGTGCCATTGTCAAGATGAAATATGAAAAGGAAGTACAGTTTCTCTGAGTGTGCTTGCCCTATGGAGGGGCTGAGCAGACAGGAGGCATCTTAGAGTAAGTAACTGGCTTCCTTAGCATTTCTTCTGCTCTTGGTGACACTGCCATCCCACAGGGCTTTTCCCACAGACTAAAGGCAGGGGGCGGTTTCATGGGAGCCACTTGTTAAAAAATTGGCAGTACATCACCGATTACATAAATGGCAGGTACATGCAGAATGAATCAGAGCAGCTATTTCACTCCCTGTATGAAATTCTGTTGCATCAGAGCAGCTATTTCACTCCCTGTATGAAAGTATGTTGAAAGAGGTCTGTGTTAATGTTGGGGTGGGTTTTAAAAGAAGCTGGATAATTTTATGACCATCAACAACACCCATTGCTGTGTAAGTTAAAATAAGAGAAAGCAGCTGAATCCCCCACCCTAATGTATAGCCTTGCACATTTGGTCAGGGGCATGATGAGAGTTTTTTCCTTCCTCCAAGGCATCAGACTAGATAAAACAATTATCTTCTTCAAAACATCACCTCCTGTATTTGGTAGTCTGTGATCTTCCTGCCTGCCCTGGGATTGGCCAGTCAATCCATAACATACCACACTCCCTGCCTGAGTCCATTATCTCTGCTGTCTGATCTCAGTTTTCCCTTTAAGTAGAACAAGGCCCACTGCTACTATGAGATTATGCAAATGCAGGCCAGGTAGTGGCACTGCACACCAAAAGGAAAGTTCTCCCCTTATTACAGAACTGTGGCTCATGAACAGTTACAAAGATTACCATGCATGGATAGGCAAAACCCACTGGGCCAAAGTCAACTGAAGTGGAAGCGAGTGCAAGTCGTGCTGCTTTTAGCCCAATGCATGTAGCCCAACTTCACTTCTCTGATGGTTCCTAGTTATCAATCACCAAATCTTCATGAAGACAACCTCAAATCACATTGCTGTCTATTTAGTCTAATGCAAGAGTGACTTTCCACACAGGTGTCATCGTGGGAAAAGGTTACTAGGTATAGGTTTGTGAACTTACCTTCTTCTTCACAGCCAAGGGTTGTTCTGTAGCTAAAATAACCAGCAGCTTTTGTAAAGCACCACCCTCAATTGCTTCAATCTGAACTTTGGGATTGCTGCAGGAAAAAGCAAAACACATATTGTGAGAAGAATGAGATGAAAGGGGAAGTCCTGTACTTTGTTGCTACTTAGTTTCTAAACAAGCTTTTTAATGGTTAGGAAGTAAGTTTCAAAATCTATTGCAAGACATGAATGAATGTAAACTAAATAGTCTAAAACTTCTCCCTTAACTTCTGTCAAAATCTAATTTACGTCTAAGAAGGTGACACCTGCTGGTGAAAACTGGTATTGTTCCAGGTGCCCTGTATATAATAACTCCTGGCCCAGACGTTTCTAGCTGCAGTGGAGGAAGTACTTGGCAATTGTCAAAGGGCTGTTCAAACAGGTTAGGGTCACCTGAATTTGAGCTATGTATTTCAAGACCTTCATGTCAAGCAGGAAATGCTGTTGCTCTTTCCCAGCTGGACTGAAAGCTCCCCTCAAATGTGCACATGCCCAATTGATTGGTAGGACACCGGCAGCATTGCCATAGGGCCCCGGGGCTGTAAGCCTTTGAGGCCACCTCAGGGACTACAGGAAGTAGGGCTTGTGATGGAGGTAATGCAGTAGCCAACTGTACAGAATCGGATCCTAGTTTGAAAGCAATGATATTCCCAAAGTCAAATTCTAGGTGGCCAAAACAGACATGAAAACCCTCTTGCAGCAATGCAAGAGAGAATTACCAGCACATTTAGAAACAAACTGCTGTCTCTCTTCATTTTGGTGTCATGGCTTCTGTGAATTACTTTAATTAACAACTAATTAAAGTTGAGTTACTTAATTAGGCAACTAGCACACAATCGGGCATAAGACAAAACAATAAATAGCACCTCTCCTGTGCAGTTTCCCTTGCTTCTCCCTGGGCCTTGCAGAGGCAGCGCACTTTCTAAAGGAAGGCAGTTCCCAAACACAGATGGGCCACGCCAGGGAGTCCCTTCCTTCCTTCACTTAGCTGCCATTTACTAATGGGAGTGGAGGTGCCTCATGCCCGAAGCGGTGGGCTGGTGCGTCTTGCTTTGCCACCAAACCCCATATGTCTGAATCTCAATAAAGTCTTCAGCTCTGCCCAGAACCATGGGTAAATGCTTGGCATTTGCATCTGTACTGTGGCAGCTGTGCTGCTATTGGTGCTCAACCCAGCTACATTTAAGCCAGCTCAGGTGTGTTTGTGTGAACTACCATCACACCTTTGACTGCATTGCAGACAGGCCCTCAGGCATGGGTTTATCCTGTATGTAGATTTGTTAGGACTGCTTCTCACCCTTTAGGTTTCTCTCTGACTAATGTGAGAGAAAGAAAGGGAACATTACTCTACCAGGTTCAACCCAGGACAAATACTACAATTCTTTTCCTCCTCTTAAGGAGGCAAAGGCAGAGTGCAGGGCATGGGGTCAGATTTAATGCGAGGTAAGGGACATCCGACTCCTCAGCCTGCTGTAAAGTGGGGTCAGCATCCAAGTCAGTATCAACCAACTGGCGTGGTGGAGGGGGCATCTCATAACCTTTACAGGGAAGGGAACATGGCTTTGTAACTTAGCTGTGCCAGCTACACAACTCTGGCTTCATCAGGAACCATAACACATTCCTCATTTGATGCCACACAACTGGCAGATAGGTGCTGAAAAGATCAGCGTAGCCAGACAATCTGAAGTGCTGGCAACACTACACAAAAGGGGCATGCTAGGCTTTCTATACTAAGTCTCCTAAGTGTACTAGTGTCTCATTAATAAGCAGCTTTCAGCCACCACAGGTGTTAACTCAGCAAAGATCTCTCCCATTGCATCTCTTGTGTTTCATTCACACCAATTGCTCCATTAATCCTTTTCACTTTAAAACCACATCTATTCCTTAACGCCCTTTTATTTACGTTCTCACTTTGCACCTCTCTTGTTCCTCAGTTTCTATTAACACACTGATTTATTTAAACACTTATCCACCATTCCACACTCTGTACTGTGCCATCAGTCTTTCAGCTCACCTGGAGAAGGGACCTTTTCTCTCCAATGCTTGCAAATGACCAGTTATGACAGTCTCACCCCCACACACAAATCTCACTTAAAGGATTACAAGTGGCTAAAAGCATCCTTCTACCTGTAAAGTCCCAGCTCTGGACCCACAATACCCTGCTGCTTGCAGGGTCTTGGACCTAGCTAGTCTTAAACACAGAACTCCAAGCACTGGCAATCAGAAAGGGTCTT